TGGAACCGGGCCCCCCCCCTAGATGAAGGGGGGGGGTTGAAACCCCCCCCCCTCCTCCCGTGACGGAGGGGCGGGGAGGCGCGCGTTTCGAACCCCCTTCCCTTGCCCCCTCGGGCCGGTGCCTGCGTCGGCGGCGGCTGGCGGCGGCGGCGGAGACGACAATTTCCTTTTCTGGGCCGGCGCCGGCGCCGGCGGCGGTGGGCGGCGGCGGCGGGGAGCGTCGGCGAGGGCGGCGGGGGTGGTGGTGGTGGTTTGTTGTGGTGGTGGCGGTGGCGGTGGTGGTTTGTTGTGGTGGTGGTGGTGTGGTGGTTTGTTGTGGTGGTGGGTGGTGGTGGCGGTGGTGGTGGTTGTAGTGGTGGTGGTGGTTTGGTGGTGGTGTGATGTTGGTGTGGTGTGTGGTGGTGGTGGTGCTGGTGGGTTGGTGGTGGTTGTGGTGGTCTCGTGGTGGTGTGGTGGTGGTTTGTTGTGGTTGCGGTGGTTGGTTGTGGTGGTGGCGGTGGTTTGTGGAGGTGGTGCTGGTGGTGGTGGTGGTGGTGGTGGTTTGTGCTGCTGGTAGTGGTGGTGTTTGTGGCGGCGGGGTGGTGGTGGTGTGTTAGATTGTGGTGGTTGTGGTGGTGGCGGTGGTGGTGGTGGTGGTGGGGTGGTGGGTGGTTTGTGGTGGTGGTGGTGGTGGGTTGTGCTGCTGGTAGTGGTGGTGGTTGTGGCGGTGTTGTGGTGGTGTGGTAGATTGTGTGGTGTGGTAGTGGTGTGGGTTTTTGGTGTTGGGTGGTGATGGTGAGTTGTGGTGGTGGGTGGTGGTGGTGGTGGCGGTGGTGGTGGTGGTGTGGTGGCGGGTGGTGGGTTGTGCTGCTGGTAGTTGTGGTGGTTGTGGCGGTGGTGGTGGTAGTGGCGTGGTAGATTGTGGTGGTGGTGGTGGTGGCGGTAGTGGTGGTGGGTTTTTGTGGTGGTGGTGATGGTGAGTTGTGGTGGTGGTGGTTGTAGTGGCTGTGGTGGTGGTGGTGGTGGTGGTGTGGTGGTGGTTTGTGGTGGTGGTGGTGGGTTGTGCTGCTGGTAGTGGCGGTGGTTGTGGCGGTGGTGGTAGTGGTGTGGTAGATTGTGGTGGTGGTGGTAGTGGTGGTGGGTTTTTGTGGTGGTGGTGGTGGTGGTGATGGTGAGTTGTGGTGGTGGTGGTGGTGGCGGTGGCGGTGGTGGTGGTGTGGTGGTTTGTGGCGGTGGTGGTGGGTTGTGCTGCTGGTAGTTGTGGTGGTTGTGGCGGTGGTGGTGGTGGTAGTGGCGTGGTAGATTGTGGTGGTGGTGGTGGTGGTGGTGGCGGTAGTGGTGGTGGGTTTTTGTGGTGGTGGTGATGGTGAGTTGTGGTGGTGGTGGTTGTAGTGGCTGTGGTGGTGGTGGTGGTGGTTGTGTGGTGGGTTGGTGGTGGTGGTAGAGGTGGTGGTTGTGGTATCGGTGGTTATAGTCGCTGCGTTCCCGCCTTCGCCGGCGCCAGCGGGGGGGGGAGAGTTTTGAACCCCCCCCACCTTTGGGCTGCCTCTGGCCATCGTCGCTGCGTCCCCGCCGTCGGCGCTGCTGGCGGCTGCCGGCGCCGGCGCAGGGGGCGGGTTCAACCCCCCCCCCTCCCTTGGGAAGGGGGGTGGGGGTTCGGGAGAGGGGGGGTTTGGGGGGGAGGGGAGCCCCTGGTTTTGACGGCGCCGTGTTCTTATTGGGCCCCCCCCCTCCTGGTTCGAAACGCGCCTCCGAATGTTTCCAAGTCAAGCGCCCGTGAAACGCGTTCTCTCGTACATCAAGATCGATACATTAAGCTTTGCAGTTGCCCGTCGCTCAATCAGGTGCCCTGAAAACGTTGCCATGCCCCACCTTTCTATGTTCCTTTCTGGGTTCGTGGGTCGATCATGTTTGTCGTCTTGGGCCAGATCGGTCCTGGAGCACCTGGCCTGGCGCGCTCTCTGCGGCAAACACTTCGACCAACAAAGGTTTCCCAACTATGTATGTTTGTGCCACCCAGGAATCTTACGCGACACCCCAAACATTCCTTGAGCTCGGGTGTTCGCTCCCTTACGAATCTAAAGCTCCTTCAGTTTTTCAGGACTCGCGATTGTATCCAGCTGCCTGGGGCAAACCTCGCCGCCATGCCATGGTAGCAGCGAAGGGAGGAGGAGGCGGTTGAGTTTCAGAATCGGTTCAGTTCAGTGCCCTGTCTGAATTGGGCCCGTCTAGTATTCCGGTCTAGAACTTCGCCTTTCCTTGTCCTCAGCGTCGTTCTGGGCATGAAAATGATGGGAATGAGCATGAGGGAGGAGAATAAGGAGGACAAGGGGGTGAGATGACAATGAGGCTGGGGTGTGGGCTGGGGGATGATGATGATGCTGATGCTGATGCGGATGCTGATTCTGATGCTGATGCTGATGCTGCTGATTATGATGGTGATGAGATGATAAAACTGGTAATGGTGATGGTGATGTTGATGATGATACTGATAATGATGATAAGGATGATGATGATGATGATGATGATGATGATGATGATGATGATGATGATGATGATGATACTGCTGCTGCTGATGATGATGGTTATGATGACGATGGTGATTATGATGATGATCATCATCATCACGACCATGACGATGCTAATGATGACGACGACGACGTGTATGATGATGCTGAGGATGACGATGCTGATGATGATGCTGATGATGCTGCTGATGCTGATTGTAGAGTAGAACAAGTAGGGTGATGCTGAAAATGATGATGATGCAACTGATGATGATGCAAATGATGATGATGATGCTTATGCTGCTGATGATGCTGATGCTGATGATTATGATGATGACGACGGCGATGACGACGAGGAGAACGATGTTGATGATGATGATGCTGATTCTGATGATGCTTATGATGATGCTGATGATGATGATGATGATGATGATGATGATGATGATGATAATGCGGACGACGACTATGACGACGATGGCGATGACGATGACGATGATGATGATGATGATGATGATGATGATGATGATGATGATGATGATGATGATGCTGATGATGATGATGATGATGATGATGATGATGATGATGATGATGATGATGATGCTGATGATGATGATGATGATGATGATGATGATGATGATGATGATTAAGATTATGATGATGATGCTAATGATGCTGATGCTGATTCTGTTGATGTTGATGCTGTTGCTGATAACAATGATGAAGATGGTGATGCTGAGGATGCTGGTGACTATGATGGCGATGACAGTGATGATGCTAATCCGATGCAGCTGATGGTGTTGATGTTGAGGCTGAGGTAGTTGTGGTTGACGATGGTGATGCTGACTATGACCATGACGATGCTGATGACAATGATGATGCTGATGATGACGATGATGATTATGCTGATGTTTATACATCAATGATGGTGATGTATTATGTATGGTGCTGATAGCGATGACGATGACGATGCCGACGACGACGATGCTGATGATGCTGATGATGATGATGATGATGATGATGATGATGATGATGATGATGATGCTGGTGATGATGATAGTGATGATGTTGATGCTGATGCTGATGCTGGTGCTGCCGATGAGGATGACGAGCAGGATGATGCACCTCTCTCAAAGGCTTCGACCTCTTCGGTCGGCCATCCCTCACATTGTTTTCGTGGCCACGCTTGATCGGTTGGTTCGTTAGTTGTCCTGTCGGTTTGCTGTCTGGCAACTTGTCTGTTGGCTTATTGCTTAAATCTATGTTCGGCAGTTGGTTTGGGCTGTTTGGTGGCTGGCTGGTTACAAGCGCCTGCAATAATGAATTTGGGATGGCGTCCTCGGAAGCGGGCATTCTCAGTAATTTACAAGGGACGGCGTCCTCGTGAGTGCGCGTGAGATGCAGTTGACAATGGATATGGCCTTGGGAGGACGCACCTGTCGTACTTTACTAGGGATTGTGGCGTCGGGGGCGTGTGCGCTGCAACTTGCAAGGCGCTGTGGCGTCGGGGGCGTGCACCTGTAGCAATGCCGAAGGCATTGTGGCCTCAGGAACCACCATCTGTTGTAATGCACTGGGGATTGTTGCCCCGACAGCGCGCGTTCGCAAGCAATGACTAAAAGTGGAGTGTCTTGTGATTTGCAGAGGGCCTCTCCTCGGGAGCGCGCGCGCGCATCTTGTAATCCACTTGGGATTCTGGCTCTGTGAGCGCGCACGCGTTGCAATTTGCAAGGGAGTGTGGCCCCGAGGGCGCGAACTTGTTGAAAATTACAAAACAATTGTGGCCCCGAGATCGTGCATCTGTTTGAATTTTCAAGGGAGTGTGGCCCCGGGAGCGCGCATCAGTGTCTTGTATGTGTCCCGGGCCACCCAGAAGTCCCGTGCTAGCGCAGTCCTTCTCGGCCAGGGGAGTCGCGCGTTCTGCGCTGTAACCTTGGAGCCAGGAGCCCAGATGCATAACATCCGACGCCGTGGAGCAGAAGAGCTGCGCTGGAACTGGCACTGGAACCAAGGAGCAGAGGACTGGTTGCAGGATGCCTCGCAGCCTGGTGGCCCCCACGGGACTGGCGGATACATAGTCTTCGATTCGCGATCGGCCCTGTCCTGGTTGTGCTTCCTTGTCTGTCCACTCTCCAGATTTCTGCCCTCTTCCTGCGCGCGCCACTTTCTGCCTCCTGCGCGCTGCTACCTCTCAACTTTCAGCTTTTCGCTCCTCCTCCAGGGCGCCACGTTCTCTTTACAGGAGGCCCTTCTTCCTCCTTTCTGATGCTGCTGCTGCTGCTGCTTTTCCCCGCTCCTCGCGAGCACAGCGTCATGCTTAAGCTACCGTTCGACGACGACGACGACGACCTCCCTGTTTCCGCTCACTCCTCACCCTCTTCATATCTCCGGCCCCCTCCTCCCTCTTGATCTGCTGCCAGGCTGTGTGCTTCGTCAGCGTCGCAATCCACATCCCTCTCCCTCCCGGTCGCTCCGCCCTCCCCCCCTCCCTGCTCCCCCCCCGCCGATCCCCGCCAGGTGCACCTGGACACGGCGCAGCAGCTCGCGGCCGACGCCGCCGGCGCGGCGCTCAACGACAAGGCCGCGGCTCCCCCCACCGTCGGCGGCTGCGCGGCCGCCGCCCCGCCGCGCTCCTGCAGAAGAAAGCAATCGGCGATCTCAAGCCCGTGATTCACCACCCACCAAACCACCCCAACCCAACCCGAAGGCTTAGACTTACCTTCGATTTCCAGTGTGGGGGGGGTCGGGAAACATCGACAAAAACACATATGGAACCCTTACCCCCCCCACCCGAAATTCGGATCTTCGGGTTGGGTTGGGGTGTTCTGGTAGGTAGTCAGTGGTTCCGGACGGCTTGTTTTAGCAGGCTTTCTGGCTGGGCTTTCGGCGACCAGTTCGCCTCTTCAGGCTGGCCCGAGTGCAGGTGGCTGTGGCCCTCCCTGCTGCCGGCGCCAGCACGCGCGCACAGGAGCGGCGAGGGGGAGGGGCAGGGGAGGTGCTGCCGGACTGCGCCGCTCCAATTCCTCTTCTCCCCCTCGCTTTCACAAGGTCGACCCACTTCGCCACAGTTGCGCTTTGACCATGACATCCAGTGGAATTTTGCCGTGGCGACGAGAGGGCCGCGAGAGGCGCAACGAGGGCCAACAGCGCGCCCGCTCCCCCCTCTTCTGCCCCCCCCTGCTGCTCCTGTCACCGCCCTGGCTGTTCATCGCGAGGAGGAGGAGGAGGAGGAGGAGGAGGAGGAGGAGGAGGAGGAGGAGGAGGAGGAGGAGGAGGAGGAGGAGGAGGACGGGTCGCCAAAGACCTTCGGAGAACCCCTCCCAGGTGTGGTCCGCGTGTCGCGCCGAAGCGTGGCGGGCAAGAAGCTGGCGGCGCTGCACGCTGAGCTCGAGTCTTTGATGGTCCCGGGGCCGCAGCCGGCAGCCAGCGGGCGAAGCTCAGGAGCAGTCCTCGGGGCGATGTCGTTCGAGTCTCCTCTGGCACACTCCCTCCTCGCCCGCTTTGTTCGAACGGCAGGAGAAGTGGTCACCGCCACCACCAGCAGGCCACCTCCAGCGAGGAGGTCCACGATGCATCCCTGAGCGAACGAGGGAAGTCGCACCGCCAGAATGAGTAGCTTCCGTGGCTCCTCTTGACGGTGGTGGTGGTGGTGGTGCCGATTTTTTTGGTCGTCATCATCGTCATCGTCCCTTCCCTACCGTCCAAGGTCCTCGTCATCGTCATCGTCTCTTCTCTCGTCATCGTCCCTTCCCGTCATCCTCTATGCTCCTATCCTCCTCGTTGTCCCCTATCTTCTGATCCATCTCGTCATCGCCCTTCGATCTTTCCTCCGTCCTTCTTGTCATCGTCCCCCTCCCCTGCCGCCCCAGGTCTCCAGGGCGGAGGCGACCCGCGCTTCCTCCGTCGTCGTCCACCTCATTCTTCTCCTTGTCCCTCCTTCCTCGCGCTGCTCTACTTGAGCTTCAGAATCATTCGATTCCGAGACATCTGCAGCTCTAAAGCGATGGTGCCGCACAATGGATTGCTGGCAGGTTGCACGGAGACGAACACATGACGAGGATCTACTTGTACGACCTGCTGGAAACTCACGCTTCACAGGGCTCATGATCAGAGAGTTTGCGGACGATCTTGAAGTACTGGCCAAGGGATTGCGACCGTTGATACGACACCAAGTGGAGAGAGGATCCGCAGCATTGGTAGAGGGTGTCCATGACCTAGGCCTCAAGGTTTCAGATAAGACTGTCATCTTGGGCCGCCCCTCAGTACAGAAAGCAGTCATTAAGGCCATCGCCAAGCACGGGGTTAAGATCAAGGCGAAGACGGACACGAGAGACATGGGCTTCGACAGCACCAGGGGAGGGCGAAAGAGAGAGCGACAGCAGCAACCATGGCTGGGTTCCCCGTAGGAGGGCGATCCACTTCCACTATCATGCTGCACATATGGACCAGCAATACCCAGCAAGACATATGCACATATGGACGACGGCAGAACAAGGAATGGTTCACCTTTTGGGAGCAGCAGCAGCAGCAGGAGTACCGTGCACGTGTACGTGTGGCCCGGCAGGCAGTCTACGCCAATCTGAGCGCCATCGAAGTACGTAACACATTGAGATCGGTGACGCGGCCACTGGGGGCGATCATAGTTTCCATGGGAGAATTTGGCTGGAAACGAGCCAGATCGCTGGATCGACCCCGAATACAACGAGTGCGCACACAACCCCAACGACACGGACATGCAGAGCCTCTAGGACACGGTACATAGCCAGCTCACGGCAGAACCATGGAGAAAAAGGCGAATCCACATTTTGGCGGGTTTAGATTTGCTCGCGGTGCACATCTACAGGTGGCGCAGCGCACGTTGCGCTGGATGCGTCGCAAAGGCAAGTTCGAGGAAGCGGGCGCGCTTGAGAGTGTCATCGTCGGCAGTAGCTGGACTGCGCAGCGGACCTCACTGGCAGGCTACGTGTGCTAGGAAAAGTGCCCTCGCTGCGATGGAGCTACGGAAGACCTCTGCTCCATCGCTTTTACCAGTGCCCGAAACATACCGACATAGACGATGACTGGATCCACCGCGCCCAGGACCTGGAGCGCAAAACGGTACAGTCCATGAGCGAGGATCCCAACATGAAACAGTTCTGGTGCCGAGGTGAGCTCGCCGCTCGGCTCAACGAGGTTCCGGCGGCCCCAAGTTGGAATGAACATCTGGCAGTGTACGACGCTGACTTGGACGAGGTCCCTTTCCCCAATGAAGGCATGCAGCTGTAAGGCAACCGCCTCTGGCCCCAGCGCGTCTGATTCAGCTCCAGCTTAATCCACCTCATGTTTACGAGAACTTCCTGGCATGAGTGCACAAGGTCATAGCTGCTGTCGCTTCTGAAGCTTACTCTCTGCCCAGAGTTAAGCACCAGCGTCGGCCGCTACCCTTGAGGTCAGTGAATATAGCCTCGCTTCGGCACTAACGCGAGCTTGTGACGGGCCACTGCGTGCTGCAGAACCCCAAGAACAAGCAACGCTGGTATGGCTTTCATTGGAAACTGGGGCCCACGAGAGTCTCAGTATATGACTGAATGCGAGGCAACCCGTGCCCTAGTAGGAGGTTAGTTTCCGTTTGTAACGTTCCCCTCCCGATTTCTGCCTCGACTTGCCCTTCCCTCCGAATCGGTGGTAAGAATGTGCGCCCGTCCCAGACGCTAATGGTGATGAATGGTCAGTCGTGGTGTGGTGAGTGTGCTCACTTGGGTACTTGCACGAGCACAGGGGGAGGACAGTTCCACCAGCTTCCACCAGCCCAGGGGGTCTGGCTGCAGACAGTGCAAGGGAGGTGCTGCACAAGCCCTCGAACTGCCAAGCCCAGGGGTGACCAGGTGAAGCCTCTACAGTGGGGACCCATGCCAAGAAGCACCCTGCTTGCCTCCAGGGTGCCCTGGGTTTCTTGGGTTTCGATGGTTTTGCAGTTGAAAGCGCGACGTTCCCACACCAAAAATCAATGGACGTCCTGGGGTCTCAGGGTTGGGTTCCTTGTGGAAGGTTTCTTGTGGACTGGCCTCCACGGTAGTTCCCCCCCCCGAGGAAGGGACGCGCAGGCCCTCACAGGTAGAGAGGCTCGGTCTCAAGGGCCGCGGCGAAGGTCTCCTGCTGCTGCGACGACTGGCGTCCCCTCGGCGGGCCGACCTTCCTTCCTCGCTCTCCACCTCGTCGTCGTTGTCTTCCTCGCCGTCGCCCCCCTCCGGCCGCCCCAGAGGTCTCTAGGACGCTGGATCACCTGCAGCGGGACGCAGTCCTCCACTTCGACGACCTCATCCTTCCCGACGACGATCCGCACGTGCGCCAGGCGAGCCCTTGTGCTCGCTCGCGCGCGCACGACGAGGTCCGACGTGCGATGGTGGAGCCTCTGTGCGCCTTCTGCGCCTTCTGGGCCTCTGGGGCCCCCTGGGCCTCTGGGGGCTTCCGGGGGCCTCTGGGAATGGAGGGGGGAAACATGATTACCATGGCAAAGATGCCGCGGGATTTTGTCGACGCAGGACTTGGTCCTGGTTTCCATGCTGGCCGTCGCCGATTCGCGAGGACGATCCACGAGCTGACGATGGCCAAGATGGATGGTGACCAAGATCGACTCCGACGACTCCGCGTTCAGTCTTGGTCATAGTCATCGTCTCCTCTCCCCCCCAGGCGTGCCGTGGGGAGCGCGGGGCAGAGCGCCCCTCGACGAACCGCCCGCTCGGGGACGGTGGGCTCGAGAGTCTCGGGGGCCGCGGGCTGCGAGGATCACGGCGTCAGATCGGGGGCTCGTAGAGGGGGGTTATCCCAAGGTGAGGGTTGGGGAACGAACCGCCCTGGATTCTCGCAGTTCCCTCTTCCCTTTTATTAGAGCGATTTTTCGTCCCAGCCCCACCTCTGCCCATGCCCCACCCTTACAGTCAAAAACCCTAACAAGGACGCGCGACTTTGCAAAGGGCATCCTTGCGCCCTTGCTCTTCCTTGCTCTTGCGTCCCTGAGGTTTTCGTCGCCCGCCGCCCCCGAAAATCCCAGCTTCGGCTTCCAAGGGTCTTGCGTCCTTGCCGCGCGTCCTTGTTAGGCTTTTTGATTCTTCGCCCTCCCAGCCAGAGGTCCGAGGGCCGCGGCGGCCTCCGGGGGCCCTCCTCGCGGCGGCCCGCGGGAAGCGCTCGGCGGAGCCGCCGGGGCGCCGCGCTCGCGGCCGGAGCTCGGCGGGGGCTCGCGCGGCGGGGGTGGTCACGGGCCGTTCGTGGAGAGTGTGTACGGTGCCGTTTTCAGCACATGCTCCGCGGGCGGACCATGTACTAAAAAAATGCAGGGACTTAGTATGAAAAACAGCGATGACTTCATGCACAACTTTATTCATGCATCAATCATGTATTACACATTCGATATTTCTTAAAGTCCTATGTATTAGAAGCTGCCCTGTATAGGGCTCGACGAAGAGAAGGCGGCATGAGTACAGTTTTTCACACCTCCGCGCGGATCTCTTGGATCGGCGCCGCCCCCCCCCCCCCCGCCGGCGGCGCCCCTGGCGCGCCAGGGAGGGAACTCGGGCGCAGATCCACGACACCCGCGCGGACCTCCGACCATTTCTGATGGTCATGCCGTTCTCGCCCTTATACTTCTCCTCTTCTTAGCCTCCCTTCCTCCTCCTCCTCCTCCTCCTCCTCCTCCTCCTCCTCCTCCTCCTCCTCCCCCTCCTCCTCCCCTCCTCCTCCTCCTCCTCCTCCTCCTCCTCCTCCTCCTCCTCCTCCTCCTCCTCCTCCTCCTCCTCCCCCTCCTCCTCCTCCTCCTCCTCCTCCTCCTTCCTCCTCCCCTCCTCCTCCCTCCTCCTCCTCCTCCTCCTCCTCTCCTCCTCCTCCTCCTCCTCCTCCTCCTCCTCCTCCTCCTCCTCCTCCTCCTCCTCCTCCTCCTCCTCCTCCTCCTCCTCCTCCTCCTCCTCCTCCTCCTCTCCTCCCCCCTCTCCGGTGGCTTTCGGGCTACACATGCAGCCTGGGCCTCCCGCGCCCGCTCGGGAGGAGGCGGGCTCCCCCCGGTGCCTGTTCCGCGCCCGCCTGACCGTGCCACGCCGGGTCGGTGCCGAGCCTCTGGCTTTGGCAGCCGCGCGTCGCTCGTCGGTCGTCGGGGCTGTCTGCGCCGTCTCTGTCGGTCGTGGCTGTCTGTCGGTCGTCGGTCGTCGTCGTGGCCGTCGGTTGTCGTCTCTGTCGTCTCCGTCGTCTCTGTCTGTCGGTCTCTGTCGTCGGTCGTCGTGGCTGTCTGCGCCGTCTCCGTCGTTGCCGTCTCCGGCTCGGGGGCGCGGAGGTGATCGCCCTCGGTATCGTTGATCCGGTCCCCATCCCCATCCACAGCCCCTTCGAGACCCCCACCAGATTACCACCCCAGTTGGGGATACACGCCCCTCGAAGCCCGAGGGGAACGACCTATATCCCCATCTGGGGGGGCAACTCGGCCAGTGGGGCCCAGGCCACGCCACTGGGGATGGGGATCGGTTAAACGATACTCAAGCCCTCCGCGTTTCGCGGCTCGGGCTGGAGAGCTTCTCTTCGCCAGAGGCCTTCGCGAGAGCGCTTCGCGCTTTGTTCAGCGCGAGGCGCCAGATTGGGGAACCTGACTGCGTGTCGTCGCTGGCGTAGTCGTCCTCGCCGTCGTCGTCCTCGTAGGGGGGTTGTCGTCGTCGTCGTCGTCGTCGTCGTCGTCGTCGGCCTCCCCATCCCCGTCCTCGTCGCACTCCTGTTCCCCCCTCCCGAGGACATTGAGAAACGGACGGGACGAGACACCAACAAGGTGTCGATTTCGGAGAAGGCCAAACTTACCTGGGACGTGAAGCACAAGGCCCTGATGTATGCTTGCTTTGGACTCGACTCTTTCTTGCTCTGGATCGGCCTCCCCGTTTTTGTCGTCCTCGCTCATCGCCCACGTCGGCCTCATCGATTTCGCGTTGTCCTGATCTTGGCGTCGTTGCGATCATCCTCCTTATCTTACTTACTCATCTTGTTCCATCCTCTCCTTAGAAGGAAGTAGAGGAGGAGCAGCGGCGACACAGCGCTCCGTGACCAAAACGGCGAGGAGACAGAGTCCGACAAGGTGGCGTCTGCAAGACGCGTACGAGTCGACTGCCCCGGGGCGAGGAAGAAAGGGCGGCCTTCATTCAGAATGCGAAACAACTACCAGAACCCTGAGAAGCAATTATCGACCCCTCCCATCCAGCGAAACTCATCTCGAAGTGATATGCCGCCCCCAGGCCCCTTAGTGCGGGATCCCACCACGATCTTGTTGGTTTTCCAACTCGGCCCAATCGGCTTCAAATGAGGGTTGCAACATGAACCCAGTTAGGACTCCACCATTAGGACTGGGCCGTCTTGCTCCTCTTACTCACACCGCCCCCCCCCTCCCCCCGCGGAATTGTTTAATCTTGTAGACCTACGCCACATCTGTCGACCCCTTGCAAAAAGCCTGGGGCCCGATGCTGGGTCAGCCTGGCCGTGTCGGACGGCCCCCTGACAGTGTCCGAATCTCCTTCACGAGTCAATCTGGAGGCCCGCACCCGGAGCTCCCAGGAGAACCCGCTGGGGCTTCCGAGAAGTCGGCGAGGGCTCCAGGAGATCACACACACGTGGCCCCACGAGGCGTTCAGGCGCAACCAGGAGGCTCCGAGACGCCCCCCGCGGCCCCCCAAAGGGCCTCCGAGAGGCGCACCAGGGAGCCCACCAGAGCTGTCAAACAGCTCCCAAGAGACTCCACAAGGCCCCCGAGAGACCGCTCGGAAGGAGGAGGAGGAGGAGGAGGAGGAGGATGAGGAGGAGGAGGAGGAGGAAGTTCATACGTCACCCCGCAGAACTGCTGGAAGGCTATGTTTCGAGATCTGCCGTTGTCCTGCATCGTGCCTGCGCGTGCTCTGAGAGACTGCGTAAAGGTATCTTTGCGTTCTTCTACCCTTCCCTCCTTCCCTTTCTACCTCCTCTTTTCCCCTTCCCTTTCTACCTCATTCCCTTTCTACCTCGTCTTCCCCCCTTCCCTTT